AGTCCATTCTCCCCACCACCACCATTTTCTGTGCTTTCTCCTTACCTGCTGCATTGCTTCCTTAAGCAGGTTTGTAAAAACCTAGCAGAACAGTAAGAGGGGCAACTGACAACAGTCATATCAAGTTGAAGGCAAAACATAAGGTAAGAATGGGTGTTGCATCTGTGTTGAACTGTAAGCACTCATTGGTAGCACTGGGCATGTGAAAAAACTGTATTAGATCATAAGGCATTTGAGCAGAAAGTTTCTGTTCATCTCAGTGAAATGTTATGATTTAAATGAGGGAGAGCAGACTTCTAGACTAACTCTGCTCCTTCATGCCCGTCTAATGCATCATCAGAAAGATGCCATACATCAGACTGGTGAGCTAGGTCAAAAAGTGTAACTTTATTATTAGTGTGATTTAAAAACAAAATGAATGATGGCTTTGTGTGGTGTGAAACTGTCCCTAGTTAAAAAAAAAAAAAAAAAAAACAAAAAACCACAAAAACAAAAACACCAGACAAAAAAAACCAAAACACCAACCTGCATTCCCTTTGTCAGGGCGGGGGTGGGTAGTGAGTCCTCCCTCCCTGTTGACAGTTATTTTTCAGAACACTCAACTGACAAGCCAAAGAGCTAGATCATGATATCAACTTTCCACTGAGTTACTTAAAGAGCTAGATTTTTTTTTTTTTTTTTTTTTTTTTTTTGTAAATGCAGTCTTATTGCCCACATTATCTTAGCAATGAAGTTTTTGAAAGTTGGAGGACCGATCTCAAGACTCCTAAAAGCCTTGGCTTAGAGTATTTGCTAAATGAGTTTCCACTAGTTTTGGCCTTCAGGATATTTTTTTTTTTTTTTTTAAAATGTCTTTCCTAGAAGGAAAAGAAATGGGAAGAGATGAACAAATACACATTTTCTTTGATAGCATTTACCTTTCATTTTGGGGGTGATGATGCAGGGCTCTGAAGTGAAAGCAGAGAGGGCTGGTGGGTTGGTGTCAAAGAACAGTATTGGAATGTCTCTTAGCCTCTGCCCAAGACAGTTCATGGTGTTTGATGGGGTTTTTTGGGGGTTTGGGTGGATTTTTTTTTTTTT